GAACTTTTGAAAGTGAATTATGGCAGATAACTTACGGCAATTCATTTCATCACTTGCATCTTCACAGTTGACCACCTGGTCACAGCGGCTGAAGTTGGAGATGCAGCTTCCGTCTTTGCACTGGAACTCTCCGACTTTGCACAGGGTCACTGCAGGAAGCACAGCGGTTTTTAAAATTCACAAATTAGATATAAAATGTATAATTATTGCACTCTATAGCTCCTCTCACGCAGAACAGATGCAGTTAAGGTGACATTTAAATGTGCAGATCACGCAATTTATTGAGCATAACACTGCTGTGTTAAAATGAAAGTGCAATAATCTGACATCATGTAATCTTTCAATAGGAATCTGATTATGGTTTATTATTATTATTATCAATAATACATTCTATTTAGAAAGCTATTTTAACAAAGCTCAAAGAAACTACACATCGGTTTCTCTTTGTGCTCCTCTTCAAAGTTTGGTTCATGATTTTTTTTAGTTAGTTGAACCAATAAAATGGACAGAAATGACTTACTGTTACAGGGGAGTTCATCTGAATGGTCACCACAGTCATCGGTGCCGTCACACCAGAAATGATGACCGATACAACGACCATTTATGCAGCGTCTGTAGCCTTTCTTACACATACGATTGGCTGTGGAGGAGGAGCAGTTCATTAGAGATCACTGAAATGCAGAGTCATTTTTTTAAACACGACCTAATCCACCAATTCATCAATGAAACTGATAATCAGTTCTGTATATATTGATTGAAACTGATTACCTGTTCTCCCGCTCATTCTAAATTGGTTTGAACATGATAATCAGCTAAGAATGCTCCATGAGGAAACTCACCACAATACGACTGTTTCTCATCAGACTTGTCTTTGCAGTGGGTCATGCCGTCGCAGGTCAGGCTGTAGTTGATACAGTCACCGTTTCCACACTCGAAGTCATCCACACTTCCACATGATATATTCAGAGCTGGTGAGGGAGACACATCTGATTTAAAATGGCAACCAATCTTATGATCAAGAGGAAAATCAGTTCACTTTGACCCTGAAATAGTGACGGAGGACTGTCTGTTTGACTTACATGAGCAGGTGTTGTCTTCCAGAAGCTGTCGGTCTCCACGGCAACTACAGTTGACCCGTCCGTCAGATGTGGGCAGACACAGGTCTTGGCAGCCTCCGTTATTTGTTCGGCAAGGAGAAAACTCACCTGAAAGATGTATAATGTGATGTGTCAAAGAATGATTTCTCTTATCATGACAAAAAAGCCCAACATCAGATAATGTGATGACATGAAGTCACTAAACTGAGTCATTAAAACAGAAAATTGTGCAATAACACGTATATAAACATATGTTTACTGAATTCACCATCTCAGTTTAGTGTTAGCATGTCAACATTTTCAAATCAACACACAGTACAGCTGAGGCTTCTGATTATGCATGTGTCCATTAAGAAAAGACATAAAGCTAAAATCTACATTGTTTCATGACAACGCACTAGTAATCACCAATGTGTCATCCTGACGGGGACAGAAATATCAGATATCAATTCAGATATCAATACATCCAATGTTTGTTATTGACGGTTTGACTGATATCTGACTTACTCCAATAAAAAACTGCCAATATGAGCATTTCACAGACATACTGGTATCTGCATTATTTATTTTCTTAATTCAAATTCTACATGTTTGTTGGTTTGTTTGTAACCCAGATTAAACAAAAACTACTGGATGGATTACCATGAAACTTGCAGTATTCCGGGGTCATATCCAGGAAGTTTTATAACTTTCTTTAACACTGTGAGATAGCGTTTTTCAATATATTTTTTTTACTGATTTTCCAAATTTTCTTTTTAATTAATGGATAAATAAAAAAAGCCACATTTAAGCGACTGATTTCTATAAGAGTGAAATGAGGTGCAGCTTGATGGAATTTAATGGGACTGTTGGCAAAGGGTTACACTGCACTGAGTGACATTCTAGTATTTAAAGTTTTTTGTCAGACTGCAAACTGTAAAATATCAAGCTTCAGTTTCATTTTTCTGTGATAAGGTTTGATGACTACACCATAAAATCCATTAAAAATAACTTTGTTGAGGTATTTCAATCAGTGGATTGTCAAACTAACTGACAGAACAATGTGGTCATTCAATCAACAATACTCACAGCTGTTGGAGTCATTAGCCACAGCGACGATGCCCATTGGCTGTTGAGGGATGTCGGCACGCAACACCTTCATGTCTCCTCCAGTGTACTTGTCCGCTCTGAGCACAGCCCTCCTCACCCAGTCAGTCCAGAAGATGTAGTCCCCGTACACAGCCAAGCCAAATGGGTGGACGGGCTCATTCTTCAACAAGACCTGAAAGAGGAAATGACAGGCATCATTTCACCGAACGTCTCAATGCTTCTTTTTTACAGCCACAAGAAGAAGAAAAACGAGAAAGATTATGTCTCACATAACGGCTGCTTCCATCATATTCACAGCGTTCAATCTTGTCCAAGGTGGCGTCAGAGAAGTAGAGTTTCTCAGCACGGTGATCTATGGCCAGGCCGTTGGGAGTCTTAATGTCGCTGCCGATGATCACTAGCACATTGGCTCCATTCAGAGACGCCCTCATGATGCTGGGAGCCTGCTCGTTCCAGTTAGTCCAGAACATGAGACTGTAGCGGGAGACAAACACAGGACCAGCATTAGGTGGAAGCTCCCAAAACGTCTGGGTATAAAAGTTACGGTTTTGTGAAGTAAAATAAATCTTCTGTTTAAAAGGAAAACAGAAAGAAATACGACTGGATCTGGGCCCCGAGAGAAGAACACCAAGTTTCAATATCAATGACTCACTCCTGACACTCGTCCAGCACAAAGGCTCTGGGGTGGTCTTCCCCAGACATAGTGACCACAGTGTTGCGGTTATAGGCCACAGAGCGGCTCTGAGCCACAGTGTGGCGAGTGATGGTGGAGGTTGTGTAACTGGTCCAGTACAATGTATCCCAACCGCGGTGGTACGCCAGGCCCTCGACTGACCCGACATCTGCGGAACAGAGAAGAAGAAGTTGGTAAATATTATGGACCCTTTTACGAGAGTTTTTCCACCTCTGGCTCTTTAGGGTTGAAAAGAACAAAGTTTATATTTCAGTATAAAATAATATCACCTCTCAGGGGTGTTGGTAGCAGCTTTAATGAGGACCTTAAGTGAGAATTTGACAAATCATTAATCACTGTCACGGTTGTAACAAGTTGCCCGTGTTAGTGAGACTTCATTAAAGAGGCAGCGAAAATGCTTTTTTCCTCATCATCCCTCATCATTTCATGAAAGGTGAAACACTTTAAAAAAAGGTTAAACGAAGAAGCGAGTAAAATGGCAGCGGTACCTAACTCATTTGAGTGTTTACCAAGCCTGCTGTTCCTGGAAAGACTTAGAGTTTGTATCATCCTGTCATTTTATAGCCGACTGCCTGCACATGCAAACACGGCTCCCTGCGGACGCTCGCATTCACGGTGAAAACTGCAAATAGAACAGCTTGAGTCACTTTAGGGACAGAGGGCGCGGTGAGGAAGTCAGCCGTGAACGGCAGAGATAAAGCGACTGTGCTGGATATCCGTTGTCCATTTTTGCCCTGCGACCCCCTGCACTCACAGCACACATCGAAGCAGTACATTATTCATATCTGTGCTGTGACACACGACATCATTGAAAAGGACGCCCTACTGTACTGCAGTCTTCTGGCTCGCAAGGTGTGTGCATCCATCTGTTTTCCATCACACTAGCAACCACATTTATGAGCACTTACCCCCACCAATAAAAACCTGAACACTCCCAACTGTTTGCTTTTGGCTGAAAGTCAATAATTGCCCTTTAATAGATGTTTCAAATTAATAACAAAGGGCCATAATCAACCTTAGTGCAGGACAATTTTAATGCCGAATACGCTGGAAACCAACCTCACTAACCTCAACTAAGAGAAGTTTAAGAATAAACACAGAGTGATGGGAACAAGGTTTTTTTTATGCATCAGGCTGCAGGAGACAGATATGAAAAAAAGATGAGCACGTGCAGTTAATCACTCAGATTAAAACTCGTTCCCAGTCTGAACAGGAATAAATTAAGTTTGTTCAACGCAGTTTTATGTAATGAGATTCAACGCGGCCTCCCCCTCCCCTCGCCGAGATCAGCTCAGCCCCTGGTTACTGTGCAAACAATGGGGACAACCTGAAGGGAAGAACATTTCCACTCAGAGATAGCAGCCTCTCTGACAATCGCAGGAGTCGCACTGAAATCCACCTGAGAATTACTTCATTTTTGATCACTACTTATACCCATGTTTTTTTTCTTCGATCACTGAATGCAGCTAAGTCACCGAGGAGCTTTCTAAATGGACAACGTGCCTCCTGCTGCGGTGGCCGCTCACTGTAGCATTGACTGGTTTTCAAAGTGGAACGTCCGTCAGCGGCTACTGGGATGAATTCGTCCACCGTTGCCTGGTTTCAAGAAATCAATGCAGCATCTCTCTGACTTTGACTGGAGCGGCTCCTCCTTGGATTACAAAGAAGATGCTGATGCAGCTCAGGGAAAGCCTGTGTGCTCTTTAAGGTCATGTTAAAAAAGAAAAACTGGATGACAGCGCAGTTTCTATCTGAGACTGCTTTCTGATTTCAGAAGAAGGACATTGCCATATTATTATCACCTGATGTTAATTCCTTCAAATAGCAACACAACAATGTGAGATTTATCTCTTTGCACCTGAAAATGAATTTCCACCACTTAATAATGAAATGTTTATCTTTCAAAGTTCAATTTACTCTGACTCTAAATGTCAATGAGGTTGTCAACTCACCAGTGCCATCTACACCGCTTATCTAACTGCTATTATAGTGAGAGTACTGATTGTCTCAATGGAGTATGGTGATGCCTTTGTTGAACGGAATCCCACTTTGTGAAAACGCTGCTCTGATGCTTCACATTACCAGGCCGTTACATTAATTGGACTCTTGTGTGTGGATGCATGGAGACTTTGGGGCAGCAGGTAAACACCAGCAACCTTGGCCAAATCACCCGGGCAGACGAGGCTTTGGTTAAAGCCGTGGTGCCCATCTTAGACGGGCTGATCCTGGTGACTGGCCTTGTGGGCCAAACCCTCGTCATCATCATCCTCACAGGCAGGCGGAGGAAAGAAAGTCAACCCCCGCATGGCACAGACACCCTCCTGCTTGCCCTGAGCGCTGCCGACCTGCTGCTGCTGCTCTGCCTGCCCTTCCACACCTCCGCCATAACCCTGGGTTTCTGGCCGTTTGGCAGCTTCCTGTGCAAAGCCATCAGCTTCCTGGGCGTGGCCTGCTCCTCCGCCTCAGTCTTCACCCTGGCAGCTTTGGCTGTGACGCGCTACCTCATCGTGGTACACTCTGCCTGCGCGTACCGTTTGCGAATGCACAGACGCATAAAGCTGACAGTGGCCCTGCTCTGGGTCCCTGCCTCGACCCTGGCGGCGCCGCAGTTCGCCTTCCGCACTGTTACCGTGTCCAGTGGCGTTTACTGTTTCGCCTTTCTGTCTGATTTCAGCCAGCTAGTTTACAGCATCGCTCTATTCCTGTTTGGCTTTGCCCTACCTCTAGGCATTATTGTGTTGATGTACGCCAAGATCTACTGTTTTCTTCGACATGCGCGGCTGCTGGGGAACGCTCTCCAGCTTGAACGCTACCAGAGTCAGGTCACTCACACCTCAGCTCTCCTGGTGCTGGTCTTCACTCTGCTGTGGCTGCCCTCCTACGCCCTCATGTTCTCCTTCATCGGCGGAACAATAACAGACTCGCCAGGCTACAATATCGTTGCCATCCTGGCCAGACTGCTGGCATCCTCAGTAGCCGTGGTGAACCCTGTGCTGTATGGATTTATGTCTCAGAAGTTCAGGCGAGATTTACTGGAGCTGGGGAGAGAGCGCTGGGCCTGGTGCAAAAGCTGCCTGATTGGTTGTCCTCAGGTCCTGAGCAGAGACATGGTACAGCCCTTTGAGCTGGACACCACATCAGACAGAGGACAGAGCTGAGTGTTTGACCAGGAGGGAAATCAGTGCTACCTCACTACTTATTATTATTATAATTTTTTTTTTTATCATTTTATCAAATACTAGCACTGCACAGATATATGTGCAAAGTATAAAGAAATATTCAAGGTGACGTGTGGCCAAACAACCTCCATAGATCACTTTGTTAGTATTTGGTCATCAGAATGAAGCAAAACAGCGACACGATATGATCATATGATCACGTTATAATTCTAATAAAAGTTGATGTGTACTCATTTTCAGTCTGATGAAAAAAAACTCATGTGGAGAAACTAATTTCAAAATTGATCAATACTCTGATCACAAGCAACATCAATAAACACATGTATCTAACTTGTTTTCCTGTCTTTCCAATAAAAGAATATTGCTTTTCCAACAACAGCTTTGGGCCAGAGCTTTGAAATGCCATGTTTCTCAGGATGGAGTTAAACAAGCTACTCTTGAATCGTTTAAAAAGAGTCATTTAGACGACACTTCAGTGTTGAAACAAGCAAAAAGCACATTGAGTGTGTGTGTGTGTGCATTTTCTTCAAGCGGCAGCACAAAGTGATGTCAGTCTCTCTGGTTGAGAAGCTGCAGCTTTGTGTGTGTGTGTGTGTGTGTGTGTGCGTGTGTGTGTGTGTGTGCGTGTGTGTGTGTTGTACAGGGGATGCTTCTGGGTGTTTGTGTTGACAGAATGTGTGAGGACAGCTGTTTTCAGTGTCGAGGGATGAGGGACAACATTCAGTTATTAAGGGTGCTGATAACAGAAAGATCTGGAATGTGTTTTCAGACAGAGCGGTGGGAAATATTTACGTGGAGTCATGACTGATGTTTAAAAGTATTCTTTGAATTTCCTGATGTACAAAATAGATAGCAACTGATAACGCCACACTTACTGTCCACCACAATCTTGCGGTCTGTGCCATCATCGTTGATCTGCTGGATGTTGCCGAAGTGGATGTCGCTGAAGAAGATGCGGTTGGACCCCTTCCCTCCGCCGCCGTGATAGTCGAAGCTGAGGGCGATGACGTTCTTCATGTGATCGGGGTCCTCGAATGGCTTGATTGGCGCGTTGAGGTTCGTCTCATCGGAAAGGTGGATGCTCTTCAGAATGGTACGCTCCGAGTACAGCAGGTATCCGTCATAGTCGCGGCAGCTGCGGTTGTCCTCTGCCAGCATGCCGTGAGCACAGGCGCAGGTGCGCTCCGCGTTGCCACGATACAGACACAGCTGCTCACAGCCGCCATTGTTGTCTTTGCAGACATTGGTGCCTGGGGAGAGCGCGACACGTTTATGAGGTGTGTTGTTAAACAAATAATGAGTTTTGTTAAACGCAGCATTTCAGCGATTCCTGGGGGGTTTTCATTAAGTTAGGTGGTAAAACTTTATCATTGTGCGTGTGAGGAGTTGTTTTGTCTACACACGAGAACATGCATGGCAGCTCACTCTTCTTGAAAACTAATTTTTAGGGAATTTTTTAGTGAAATTCTAAGAGGTTCATGTTAAGTTTAGGTGTGTGTATGGTTGTGTGTTTTTCTACCTTGCTGTCTGGCTCTGTTGAAAACCTTGATGTCTTTCAGCTGCACACCAATACCAGTCCTGAGCTGCACTGCATCTGTAGCATTGTCTTTGCTGCCTCTCTTAATGGAGCCATTGGCATGAGTCCTAAACAAAAGACAACAAATCTGTGGGTTAATAAACATCACGTTACAATATGAAATTGTTCCCATGATTCAAACGCTATCACACATAAGACAGTATGGATAGATCATTTAGAAAGATGGTTTAGGAAACAAACTTATTCATCCACTGGACTGACCGATCGCTCCAATAAATGTATTCCTCAAAAACAGACACAGCAAACATGTCCATGTTGTTGTTGGCCAGCACAAGCTCCCTGTTATCTCCAGTCTCCAGGTTAATGCGCTCGATCTTGTCTGTCCTGGCATCGCACCAGTACAGAAAACCCTCCTGCAGAAACAGAGCAGACATGAAGCAGTGCTGATTATTTAAGTCATATTGTCAAGTATAGATTTAGTGGTATCATGCTACGAGGATATATTTAATTTAAATGTACCCTTATTACAGCACTTGAAGTTAACAACTAATTTTTTTCAATGTTGGGGAATTTTTAATATACGTTGTAATAGAAGTTTTATAAAAACTAGGCTGCGCTAATGACTTTTAAATATGATGCAACATGTAGCTTGCAAATACAGTACTAGGAAAGATTAGAAAGAATTTCATTAAAAACTTTTCTGATCCATGTGATAATAAACTATAATTTAATAACTCGAGATTCATAAAATAAATAATTGAATCCAAACAAAACAAAGTCGAGTCTCAAAAAACACATATTTGTACAAACTACACATTTCGGCAGCATTTTATCAGCTGAAGTCCGCACCTCATAGTCGATGGAGATTCCATTTGGCCAACTGATGCTCGCATTGACCATGACCAACCTCTGGGTGCCGTCCAACCGAGAGCGCTCGATCCGAGGGTACTGACCCCACTCAGTCCAGAACAGATACCTGCACACAGGGACACACCACAGATGATTTGAAGGTGCAGTTCAGTGAGAAAAAACAACTGAACTCCAAGTACGTTCCACACTATTACAGAGTTAAACTGTCGGCAGGAAGTCTTACCCTTTCACTGGGTGGACAGTGATGGCTCTGGGTTTGTCCAGGCCCTGGGAAATGACCACATAGCGGAAAGAGCCATTCAGCCTGGCCACCTCAATCACGTCAAAGCCCTGGTCAGTCCAGTAAATGTTTCCTACAAAAGTACAGGGACATAAATCAGCTATGTTGTCCTTGAGCAAATATGAAATATTATAGATGTTACAGAATATGTCTAAACCTGCTATCCAGTCAACGGTGATGCCCTCCACCCTGCCAATGCCATTGGTGACCACATCCTCTCTCCACGTCTGATCTCTCTTCGCCCTGCTGATGGTGCTCAGGCCCATGTCCACCCAGTAGATGGTGTCATTCTCTGAAAAGGAAAAGGCAATTTGTGTCACTCTATAAATACTCGATTCACTGGGATAATGACAGCTTTAAAATGTCACTTAGAGCGGCTGTGTAGTCACTAATGTCCCTCAGCATCACTCACCGGCATGGAAGTCGATGCCGACAGCCAGAGAGGTGCCAGACACTGGCACCAAGGCGTCAGATTTGTCGGCGGGGTCCAGTGGAATTCCTCTGATTCCCTCATGAACAGAGTAAAGAAGGAACGAGCCCATTCCTGCTCAGAGAAAGCACATTCACTTTTTGTTCTGAGGACACATTGCATTCCTGCTGTATGTGTGAATGTAGCTGTGACGCAGCGACTCACCCTCGCAAGACTGCTGTCCCGTCTTGAGGCTGTAGCCTGCGGTGCACATGCACGCCCTGGTTGTTGGTGAGGTGGGGAGGCACAACTGGGAGCAGTCACCGTTGTTGTTACTGCAAAGGTTGATACCTGCTGCAGGAAAGAAAGATCAGTGAGAAACAAACACACAATTCAGAGAAATGGCTCTGAAAGGGAAAAAGACAAAAGCACCAGCAGTGATCATATTTTCAAATGATATTTCTTACCTTTCTGTACATCCTCATCATAAATCCTCATGTGCATCATAGGAGAAGTGTTGTTTCGCAAAACCTTCCAGTTTCCTCCATCGCTCTTGTCACAGGTTCCGATCTGGTCGGTTCCTTGATCGGCCCACCACAGCTTGTCTCCTAAAGTGAGGGGAATTGATTCACATCTTTATTCCCTTATCATGGGCTAATGATTCTGAGATATGGGTCTGTCCAGAATATTAATAATAACAATATGATCTATCTCATAAAATATACTCACAGAAACCAAAGAGGATAAATTAATAAAAGTTATTATCTGTTTTTTATCTTACCCATGATAGCCAGTGCAGTAGCCTTTGTAAGTTTGCCTTTTACACCCTCCAGGATCTCTGGGTTAGATCCATCCATCTGACACCGGTTAATGGTGCTGTTCCCTGAGCTGATCCAGTACAGCTGCTCTTTTTCAAAGTCAATAGAGAGGCCTGTGTGGAGAGAAAATTATACTTAAACAACTCTTACACTGATCAGCTGGATCTATGCTTTCACCCTGTAGAGTTGTATAGAAATTCAGTATTATTCTGCAATCAGTTTCTTGCAGGACGGAGGGAAAACATATGCTCACCTACTGGTCCCTTCTGATCAGTGAAAAGTGTGGTGCGGTTGCTACCATCCATGTTGGCCATGCTGATGTTGTCACCATCGGTCCAGTAAAGCTTCCTGAGGATATGAATAATATTAGATGCAGAGAGGTGGTGAAGACTCTAATCTGACAAAGGTCTCATTACAGCAAAAGGAGCATTGAATGTGGAAAAGAAAATCAATCAATGAATCAATGAAGAAAAAGAATTAAGAGATGTAGAAGCAGATGAAGAAAACTGTCAGTAGACATAGAGAATTGCTTGTTACTGGAAGAAATGGCCACCAGAAAGATTTCACATAATCTCATACAGGCCTAACAAACTGGAAATAATGTTTACCCCAGTATAGGGTGCAGCACCAGACAATGGGGCTTGTCTAATCCCTGGATCACAGCGTTCTTGAAAGACCCATCCAGTCTGGCCACATTGATCTGCTTCTTATTGGCATCATAACTGGTCCAGAAAAGGTTCCTGGACACCCAGTCCACAGCCAGCCCATGAGCGTTAGGAAGGTCTGAGGAGTGTCAGGACCATGGAGGGAAAAGGTTAGAGCTTCCAGGGCATGAAGTGTGTTATCAAAAACATATCATTTTGAATAATTACTTCAAAAAGAGAAATAGAAAGAATTAAATAAAAACAGGATGCCACAGATATTCCTCAGATTGTTCTTACCAGCAGACACCACAGTCTCCACCCCTGTGCCATTGATGAAAGCTCTCTTGATTGTCTGCGTTCGAACGTCTGACCAGTAGATGCGATGCTCCACGGCGTCATAGTCGACCGCAGTCACGTTGTCTATGTCCGGCACAGTGAA